CCTCAAGGCCACTGAATAGTTGAAATTGCTGCATGATGATGTGTTTCCCCCTTTATGCACTGAAGTTGGCACGTTCCCTGAGTTTTTCCAGCAAGATACTGCACCACCACATTATGGGTGTCAGGTCTGAGCATTTCTAGATAAAAAGTTACCTGAAAAGTGGATTGGTCGTCGTGGGACAATTGAATGACCCCCAAGGTCTCCCGATCTGACCCCCTTAGACATTTATGTGCATTTAAATGCATTTTTGTTGGACGAAACTATACATTTTTACTAGAGGATAAAAAATGTAAGATTTTCCTGTATGATTTAATATCTTACCTATCATTGAAAGTTTAATAATAATAATAATAATAATAATAATAATAATAATAAATCATTATTGAAGCCGAATTACTTCTCTACCTGACAAAAGTCTTGTCGCCTTTCCAAGTTTTGGAACAAGTATCAGAAGTGGCTTATATGAAAGGCAAAGGCCCCTAGATTACGTTTATTTTACCAAAATAAAATATGATCATGCCTTGATTTTTAATTATTTCAATAGGACAGTAAGGTCTGACTTTGCTTGGACAAACGTCTTGTCATTTGACAGAAATAATGTGCAGTTTAGAATATAATGTCATGCTGCAGTGGAGAAAGAATGAATATTGTGTCTGACTCTAATGAGTTTGGAGGACTGCATCCATACATCTCTGACTCAAATCACTTATTAATAAAGTCATCTGGAATGGCAAGAAAGCGTATATTGTTTGTATAATGTTTTAATTAGAATACCAACATGTTATTTGGGGATTTTTGTACTACAACAAAAAATAGAGAAGGAAGCTTATGTTAGTAATATTTTGATAATATTTACAAAGTACCATATTCACAGATGCAAATTTAATAACCAAAACCCATTTCATCTGTTGATGTTGCCATTCACTCTGCAAATCTCTCGCACGCCCCCATACTGAATGTAACCCCAAACCATGATTTTTCCTTCACCAAGCTTGACTGATTTCGTAAGAATCTTAGGTCCATGCTGGTTCCAATAGGTCTTCTGCAGTATTTGTGATGATCAGGATGCCGTTCAACAGACGATTCGTCAGAAAAATCAACCTTCTGCCACATTTCCAAATGATCAACTGGAAGTCAAGTTATTATTTGTTGCTCTTAAAATTGTGATCGACGACAAGACTTGTGTCAGCTAGTGTATTTGAATACATCTCATCTGTTCATCTTCTCATCTCTTCTTCTGTTCATTTATTTTAGTTTTTGATTGCATATACAATGTAGATGTAGAATGTAGAAATGTGGATTTCACCCAACATGGTCATGCTTTTTCTGAAGTCCACTTTAACTCCATGTATTGTGTCTGATTTCATTGTTGTTGTTGTCTGCAGACTGTGAGCACAGACCGGCTTCCAGTGAAGCTCCACTATGATAAATCTCATGACCAGGTGTGGGTGTTGAGCTGGGGAGATCTGGAGAAAAACTTCCCAACGCTGCAGGTGAGTCCGTCTCTCCAGATTCGTCATCAATGGCTGCGGATGAGAAGCACTCTCAGACTACAGAGATGAGATAGTCTGAACATTTACTCTTCTGGCTGATTATTCAAGTGTGTGAGTGCTTCTGCTGACTGGAGCTTTTGGTCGTGGTGCACTGCAGCCAAATCTCACCAGCCAAAATAAAAGAAATGTTTTTATTTTATATATTTATTTACCTTGTTTTATTTTATTTTAAATTTTTTATTTTACTATAATTATAATTATTTTTATTTTTACTTTATTTTATTTATTTATTTTATTTTTACTTTACTTTTGATTTATCCATTTAATTATTTACTTTTGTTTTTTTTTATTAAGAGAGACTTTGACTTTTAAATCTCCTTTTAATATACAACATTTTACAAAGTATTACAAGGGAAAATTCACAAATAGATAATAAATAATAAATAGATTTAATAAATAAATAAATATTAATAAATAAATAAACCCAGAAGACATCACCAATCAAAAGCCAAATGTCCACACTGGCTTATATTACCGAATCATCTGTAACACTTCACTAGACAGACAGACAGACAGACAGACAGACAGACAGACAGACAGACAGACAGACAGACAGACAGACAGACAGACAGACAGACAGACAGACAGACAGACAGACAGATAGATAGATAGATAGATAGATAGATAGATAGATAGATAGATGACGAATAGATGGATGACAGACAGACAGACAGACGATAGATGGATGGATGGATGGATGGATGGATGATGGATGGATAATTGGCCTATGATGCACAATATATGGTTTAACCCCAAGAATACACTGTGGCTTATTGTGTTATTATAAGAACTCTGTTTATGATACGTAACTCCATCCATCAGGTGATCAGCCAGGCCAGCGGCAGCACATCTCACCACACCATCCACACACAGCCGGTCGGCCATCGCTTCGACAGGGTGGAGGATTTCTTCATTCCTCCCATCAGCCTCACCATCAACCACATCAG